GATATCAGAAGTTGAGAGGCTTCAACAAGCAAACATGGTTGGACCAGAGCTGAATGCAATCCAGGCATTAGCTTCTCGCAATTTCTTTAGCCAAAATATGATGGAGGGTGGAGCAACCTACCCACAGCAAGACAAGAAGATTCTCCATCTTGGGTAAATATTTATATCCTTCTATCTGCATATCACTATATATATATATATATATATGTTATGATTTCTACAGCATAAAAAGAGAAAACTTATGATTTTTTACTTTATTTTGTGTGTTTGTTACTCATGCAGGTAAGCTTTGGAGAGAGATTCAGCAAATGCTAGCTCAATCTTATTCAAAATAATGATGTCACTGCCTACTGTTTTTAGTATTGCAGTGTGTCCAACAGTTCTGGAACATTGCCATTTTTAGAAACTGCTGAAGCACTTACTTAATTAGCATATGCTTGCTGCATATGAACATGGAAATGTATTTGGAAAGATTGTTATGACTTGGTTCAATCTCCAGAATAATTACTATAGTAAGGCTGGTAATTCAGTAAGTTTACCGTACGTACTCAGCAATTGCACAGCTTTTAATTGCGGCGGCGATGCATAACTTAGTCAGAGAATCAGTTGCTAATTAGTTCTGTGCTGTTAAAGGTTTCAGCTGATTAGTAGGAGGTAGCCCTGTCTAGAACATCATTGTTAAAATGTTTTCAAGATATAAAGCAGGCGATCCATCGGTCTTCTTGTGACTGGTTGGCAGAAAGGCTCAGTGATTTGCTACCGGTCGGTTGTGCCTTAGGGTTCAAATTATGCACAGCTTTCGTACCATAACGTTCATGCTTCTGAAACTTGTGTATATACTTAAAAATAGCTTTAGAAACATGAATATGCTCATAAACCCACAATTCAAGATGAAGAGAGGTTGAATCGAAGTGATACAAGTTTTGAATGGTTGCAATATCAATTCATAAAAGACACTAATTCCTCTATAATAGAACATTAAGTTAGTATTGTCTAAAATGAACCCCATCAATTCTGGCATCCACCTATAATTAATCTCATGTTCTTTTGACAATCCTATTATTTTATGTCCATGAGATGATCCTTGCAGAACTTTACATTAACCTGCATCGCCTCTTCTGCCATCTTGTTAGTCTTCAAACAAAATCTTAAAGAAAATTATCTTGTAGTTGGTGAGTATCAGCCAGAGGAAGGGCAAAAGGGAAAATGGCTATTCTTTTTTAATCAAAAGAATGGCACAGTTATGTCTATAAGTATCTCTTTTCCTAAGGCCCCTTGGGTTGCCTGTGAGAAATGGAGACCAACTTCAAAGGTTTATCGAGTTAAAGTCTTCTTCCTAAACTTATTTAATACAATCCCAGACACCAAACGTGGCGACGTCATTCCTATATATACTTCATGACACACTACTGAAGTTATCAAATTAGTGACGTCTATTCCACGCCAAATCAACTTTTCCCGGTCGAAAATTTCAAAACATATCATAAACCTGCTTTCTGAAAATAGCGAGGATTCTCTATGGGTTAGGTCTGGGTCAGGTTAATCTTGTGGCAAAGATCAAAATGCAAGGGCCTTGTCTTGGATCGCCTTCCTAGCTTTTAAATTGTGTAGAAATAAACAAGCAAGCAAGCAAACAGAGATAACCATAAGATATAACTCATCATAGAAATTTAGAGTGAAAAGATAGGGTTTGATTCAGTTTCTGATCCCATCTCAACCTTTGGATTTGACCAGCAACAAATTCCAGGGCTGAGGGGGGATGTCCTGCACACACACAAAAATGTATGCATCCTGCAACTGAAACATATGGCTGAAATTGTAAGCCAAACATTATAGACATCAAAATACAAACTAGAGAAAAACATATAGGCATAAAATATATGTATAGGTATAAATTTGAAATTTTAAGCTAGCATCCTACCAATTTACATAAAGAGGATCAAACCATAACCAATATCAATCGCTGTCACAAACAGTTGCAGCAAACTCCCACATCAACCACGGTTCAATGAAGGAAGAGATTTGACATTTGATGATCAATCTCCTTACCACTTATCTTTATCAAGAATTACATTAAAGAATGGCACACTTGCCATCACCTCTTTTACGAAGCTCTTCCTCTGCTCTCATAAGATTTTCTCTAAGCTTTCGAATTTCATCATCTGACCTCATCTGAGCCATTTGAGCATTCTCTTCTGCTCTCAGTCGAGCAGCCTGTTCATCTGCCAGCTGTTGCTCAAGCCTAATAGTGGTCTCTCTTAACTTTGACTCAACCTGTATAACAATATAATTGTGAATAAAGAAATACACCAATCATAGTGAAAAGATGTATGCTTATGTTTCTCAGGGCCCTATCGACATTTCCTACTTTGCTAAACAGGATTCCTACTCCCCAATATTCACTACCTACCCCAAGAATTGAAAACAAAATAATACAAGTCACAGCATATAGAAATTTCATTTCATTCTATCTATACAACTAAAAAACATACGAACGGAAGACAATTATTCACACTAGACTCCAAAAACAACCAGATATAAAGCCAACCCTTGTTACACATGCCTTAAGGGTATGAAATTGATTTAAGGAAATTCATCCGATGGTTAAATCTTTTAAGTCAAGAAGAATTTTCTGTACAATTTAATAATTGTAGCTGACAAATTATGAACCATCACCCAAAACTCTTAACTAGACAATGAATAAATCCATCTTTTTCATCTCATGCATTGAGCATATATCTCACATGCTGTTGAAACATATTTGAGGTTTACAGAACAGTTTATGCATTTTGGAATAAAATTTTAATAAGTCTGAAAAGAGTACAAGCCAACACACACAAAACTGTGCAGCACCACACTTACGCTAGGTGAGGGAATACCAAAACTAGATCTAAAGAAATTTTCTAACCAATATCACAGACTTGGGGCTAAGGATAACACATAGATACAACAGACTTGAATATAGATCATGTCCCAGATAGATGAGATAGCTCATTAGTTGCTGGATTTTGCATCCCCAGATCAAGAAACATGGGGAGAGGGAGGGGCCAATGTCTGTTATTTCAATCAAATTTTGACAATTGATAAAAATATGGTGGACAACAACTATAACTGAATTCATTAAGCATATCAAAATTTTATATGACATGAACAAGAATCTTGTTGTAAAATTCTGAAAGTTCATGCTTATCCCAAAGACAATAATGAAAGATGTTTTAAATTAGTGAAGGCATCCTACAACCCTGGGCCTACTAAATTAATTCAAGACTTCGGTTATCTCCAATTAATATGCCAACACTTGTCTAAAAGGTACTGGCAAGGGGAAATGTACTCAAAGGAAATCAACGACTGCTAAATACCTCTTACTACATATGTTAAGTTAAGATGCAGGTTCTAATGGTTTAACAGGGGGCGGTCAATACTGTAATCAACAAAGGTATTCTAGTTTTAGCCAAGTAAGAAAACTGTAGGAATTGTTAAATCCAAAAGCACAACAGATGAAAACTTAGAAAATCTGTTACCATCTCAGTAATTCGTTTAAGCTGCTCTTCATATGCACGCTGCATCTGATCCTTCAAATCTGATATTTCTCGTTTAGAATACCCCTTCAAGGAATTAACCTCTTCTTGTTGATCACGGAGTTTAATAGCCCCTTTCTGTCGCATACAATAATTATTTGATCAAGACATTTTAGAACAGAGTGCCAGTTTAAGGAAAAAATTATTATAAATAATTATAGTACCTTCACTTCAGCGAATATCTCATCAGTGTACGGTCGTCCACCATTCTGAGCTATGACCTTGTTTACAAGGGAGAGAAGATGCTGCACTTGTCTAACCCTCTTACTTTCATCCTTACTCTTGTTATCAAAAAGCACACAGCGATTTTCACACAGAACAAGGATTTCCTACATCAATCCAAGAATTGATAAGATTTCTAGTACATGTTATCTTTATATTCAAGACACCACAGGATTAAGAAAAGAAAGTGGAAACAAATTTTTACAAGCCATATATGAAAACGCAATAACCGACTATAATAATCTCTAAGAAATACGATTCAGGCAAGCTGCATCAGTCAATCTTCCCTTGTACCATGCTACTAATAGAAAATTTACTGCAATCTAAATGCCACTAGTCATCTGAAGGAAACTTCTCTAACATTTTCTTGAAGTCCACTTTGTTAAGGACATATTTTATACAAAACCAACTTTGCCATCCTCCAGCCCAAAGAAAAAACTAAACAAATACATGAAAAATGACAGTCCAAGCAAAGATAATTTTCTTGGTCATTCATGTAAATTGTACAAACTGAAAAGGGAAGAGTTGATGAAAACTGTCTCAATTATGTAGCAAATAAATCCAAACATTCGTATAACTATGTTTGATGTAATATGCACGACTGTGTTAATAATTTATACACATCAAAGTACAATGAGAATAAAGTTAAGGGGAAGTATGTATCTACTCATTCAGAAATGAACACTGCTACTAATGAAATTATCATAATAGTTTATAAAAAAGAAAGAAAATAAGCAAAAATCAAGGGACGAGCTTGAATGTTCGTGAGTAACCTTTAAAGGCTCTGGACATTCACGGCCCAAATAGTCTTCCAACGTCTCATCATTTTCTTCAAGGTCATCTCCGCCAGTAAAGACCACAATCATGTAATCAATAATTTTGCTTCCAAACAAAGTTTGCAAGCTACGTAGTGCAGCTTCTTCTTCTTGTGAAAACCGGGTTCTAACTGAGAAAGTTACAAGAACAGCATGGATTCCATCCTTGGCCAAATCAATGCATTTGACAATTTCTTTGCCAACAAAGTCCGACCTTGCAGAAAAATCAAAAAGACCTGCACCAGTGTACAACACAAGTCAACGCAATGAGAAAGGATACCTTCCAAAGACCAAATACAACTACTCTATACATTTGCCTCCCTACTACAGAAAAGGAAAGAAGAAAGAAAGAAAACTACAATAGATGTTAAGAAAGTTATAAATCAGCAGGATTTTACCAGGAGTGTCTATAACATTTACAACTTGTCCATCTCTCAATACAGTTTTCTCCAATTCACAAGTGCTCGTAACACCAGAGGAGCTGGTCTTGGACTTGAAGGCCTTTCTTCCAAGAATACTGTTTCCTGTTGCACTTTTTCCATTACCAGTACGTCCAACTAAGACCACAGTGCGAACGGCACTAGACAGTGAAGGAAGCTCCCAGTCATCATCAATCGAACTTCCACCCATTATATAAAATCAGGATACCTAGCAGACACTTAATTCCGTCAACACTTCATAATGAGAAAAGTATGCATCACATAAATGTTAACACTTGCAACCATCTTATATGTTGACAAAATCATGTCTAGAAGTGTAGAAAACTGTTTGTATGGCATGCCCACTGCATAAAAATAAAATCAAATAAAGCCTTATTTCATGAAAAGATAAACCAGAATTCCAAAAACTCAGGGGTTACATCTCCAGTTTTAGTAGAGACAAAATTATGTAAGGCACCTTTCATTCAATACATCATCTTTTACTCTGAG